CATTAGACACATTTTCCATAGCAGCTAAAGATTGTTTGAAATCTTTACATCTACCATCTCTAACATAAGCCATTATGCTAGAATTTAAACCTAATAATGTTAAAGGTTTTAAAGCAATTTGAACACATCTACCATCTCTAACATAAGCCATCTCTAATATCATAATTAATATACTAGTGAGGTTGATTTTGACTTATTTGTTATCAAAGAGAATTTAGACATTTCATAATTTCATTTGTATTTTAAGTCATATAAATACAAACTTTTAGTCTCAAAGTTGCAAAAGTTTCCTTGAATGCGCCGTACTTAAGTTATGATACACCATAAAAAAAAAAAGGTACATATGCACTTTAGTAAATGGAAGCATCTAGCACTATCATGTTATGCTCATGCATGAAGTGCTCATGTCACTGTGCATCTCTACTATATACATATACATGATCAACATTAGCATTCTCTATATGCAATACACTTCATGCGTGACTTTTTTACAGGACTGTCCTGTTTTGAAATCCTTAATATCAAACTACCTTGTTTTAAAAATAATTTACGAAGGTGTCCTAGTTTTATAACTTGCTCGTCCACTGAAGTAGCGAGCAGATGAATGTATTTTAGCCACGTTAGTCCTCGTCCACTCAGAGAGCGAGCACATGAAGAAACTGTTTTTTTATACTATGTTTAATTAATTAAAATAATATTTTTAAATATTAAAAATATATTATATTAATTTAATTATGATATTAATGTTAAATATTTATTATATATCATGTTTAATTATGATATTTAATTTAATTATAAATAATCTTTATAACAATATTATATATCATGTTATTCTATTAATTTTATTATATAATATCATATAAAATGGAAAAAAAATGTGAATGATATAATAATTTAATTTTTTTTGTCATGTATTAAAAAAGAATGATTGATGTCCGTCCAACGAGTTGTAAAGTTTTTGCAGAGTCTCGGTCATTGAATGACCGAGTTCAAACGTAATTTTTTTTATAAATAGAAATCATTAGTGTCTAGTGTTTCGTGTTTTAAAAATGTCTGTCTGAGCTCTTGTTTTTTATGGACAATAAAAATAATCAGTGTTTACCTAGATTCGCAGTGGAATTTCAGAAGCGTGGTTGCAGCAATTAACACGGGGTTTCGACAGTTGGATGGTTGTCGCATGACGGTGAGAAAAATGGAGTATCGTTGTCCGTATATAACGCTGACTGATGCTAGCCCAGAGGGTACGTACATGTATTACTTGGATCGTATAGAAAATGAAGATGTCCAATGCATGTTTTCAGCACATAGTAGCGAAGTTAACAGAGGAGACGCAGATCCACTTGTGTTGGTTGTTGTTGTTGGTTAGCATGTACGTTAGCTCCCTGAGTTTTATTTTTAAGTTTATGATTGTAATTTGCTAGTATTGCTGTAATTTAAAAGTTGTCTTGAATTACAAATAAATGTTGGATCACATAGAAAACAAGTACAAGCAAAATCAACAAAATTATCTAGACGGTCGGTTTGACGGACTGACAACATTTGGACATTTTCTACGCATATGACCTATTTCTCTGCAAATCTCACACCTTTTCTTTTCTTTTTCAGCGGCGTCCATCTCAGTTCTAATTTTACTACTGGTTGGACGTCCCCTTTTATTTCTTCTCATGGAATCGTCGTGACATAGAGTAAAACCTTCATATTTTGGCCAGTTCTCCTCGTGCGGTAGTCCCAGAAAGCTTTCTTTGTAGACTTTGAATACGTTAAGTACTGTGAAGACCTCTGGAATGTGAAATGTGTAGTCTTGTCGTATGCTAGAACATGTTGCGATCACGTGGGAGCAAGGCAAGTGAAATGCTTGAAATTTTCCACTGTCACACCAACGATTCCTCAGGTCAACGCTGAAAGTACTCGTTGGACGACCATCGTTTTGATTAGTTTTTTCCTGCACCATGAAATAGAATCTTTCGCGATCAAATTGCATGACATTGTGTATGTTAGCCTTGGCTACCTCATCAACCATTCCTTTGTTGCAACCATCTGTGAAAACTTTCCGTGTAGCTAGCATTTTGGTCCATCTGTGTCTTCGTTTACCAAAGAGTGAACCCATTCGATAGTATGTAGACTGGACCAAAGCAGTGATTGGAAGGTTTTTGATTGCCTTTAGTACAAAGTTCATGGCCTCTGCCAAGTTAGATGTCATATGTCCCCAACGTTGCCCTCCGTCAAATGCTCTAGCCCACTTCTCCCTAAGTATGTTGTCTATCCAATTTGAAGCCTCAATGTCTGTTCTTCTGATTTCTCCGTGATAGTAGTTAAATGTAGCCCCTGTCAATGCGTAACTTGTAATAGAAATTGTGTGAAAAACATAGTAAAAGTATGATACAGTAGTTGAGATAACTGAAATGTATTTTGTTACCCATGTTAACAAGTTTTTTGCATAGAACCTTGTCCTTAATCTTGCGCATGAAGTTCTGCAAAATGTGTCTAATGCAGTAGACATGTGAAGATGGTGGATGTTGCAATCTGTTTTCGGGATTGTTATATGCACTCTTTATCAATTCACGTCTATCAGAGATTAGACATAAATTAGGTTATGGTGTCACGTGTAACCTCAGGTTCCTTAGAAAAAAGCTCCATGCTTCCTTTGTTTCACCTTCGACCAATGTGAATGCTATTGGGAAAATGTTTGCGTTTCCATCCTGTGTCACCACCATCAATAGAGTTCCTCTATACTTTCCATACAACCAAGTTCCGTCTACTTGCACAATGGGCTTACAGTAGGAGAAACCACGTATATACGGATGAAATGCCCAAAACAGACGATGGAAGATTCGTTTTCCAAAGAGTTAGGAACCATCATTTGAAATTGCAGGTAGGGTTTGCAAATCTATAATGGTTCCTGGAAGGTAGGTTTTCATTACCAGTATCCACTGTGGCAGGTCGTTGTAAGATGTTTCCCGATTTCCGTAGAGCGACTCTATGGCCTTACACTTAGAGATCCATGCTTTCCTGTAAGATATTATGTACCTGTATTTTTCAAGAATATGGGCAATGATCACCTTCAGCTTAAGTGAAACATCTCGGTTGACAAGTTCTCTGATGTTATGGCTAATCATTTTTGAACTGAGCTTCCTATGGTCTTGTGCCATAGACGTGGTAGTGCATGTGTGAGGCCCTGATAGCTTACCGATCACCCATTTTGAGTTCCTTTTTCTCAAGGAAGCCCTGCACTTGAAATTGCAGTCTTGTTTCTTACACTTAATTACATATCGTTCATTGTCAGATTGATAAACCCAATAGTCAACACTGTGTGTTATGTGCCAATGTTGCAGAGCGAAGACGTAAGCTTCCTTATTTTTAAACTCCATCCCAATCTCTATTTTTTCACCTATATGGTTTGGTATGACACTTCCAAACACGGATGTTGTCTCATCATTTTCCATACATATATTTTGCATATGTGCAGGTGGGTTGTACAAACTTATTGGTTGTGTGCGAATCTGCTGCGTAGACGCGACAACTATATCTTCACCGTCTTCGTCATCGCTGTTACCAAAAATATCTTGCATCCTAACCTCTTGAAGATCATCATCGCTTGGTTCCCCAAACTCTTCATTTGGTATGCAAGGTTGGTTGTTTTGTGTTGGTTCGTCGTCGAATGTTTGGCTCATTCTATATCGGTGTGACTATGTCTCTTGCATCAGAAATGTTTCGGCATTGTCGAGTAGTCGGACATACAGCTCAATTGTAGGTAACTAACCAAACATCATGTGGCACTGAAACATTGCCTCCACGTCTTCGTCGTTCCTGATCAGCGTCATTATGTAAAAAATTGTACAGTCGTCTCCATTAAGTAAAAGATGGCGATAAATTATCTCTTCAATGCATCGTGTTAATGTTTTTTTTTCATTCTATCTTTGAAATGGAAAAAATCAGAATTAACATGAATTTTGAATGCGTAAGTATCTGTGTTGCTGAATAAGAATCCAACGGGACTATTTGTTGAAACAACACCATTAAAGTGGCAGGTAAGAATTATATTTCTCTGAGACATATTTGAAGTGTAAAATCCATGTTCTTGTTAATGATATATGGAGTTATGATACAAACAAGATAAGATACACAAAAATATATAACATACACATACAATGTAAAGAACAAAAAGTCCCCTTGAGCTCGTCCACTCAAAGGACGAACATGTTCATGTGAAGCACTTGCTCACCCACTCAAAGGGCACGCACACTCTTGTTCACGAGCCAAATCATCCACCCAAGTGGCGAGTGAATGATGGGTACTGAAAAGTGTCTTGCATGCATGAAACATTGTGTAAGACCTAGCTACTAGCTTTGCATGCATTCCATTGCTCGCTGAAAAGTCTCTTGCATGCATGAAACATTGTGTAAGACCAAGTAACTATTTCCAAAGCCATGCAAAAGTCATAGTATTGTCACTTCTACTAGTCACATTTACACTACCAAACATTTATTCTTCATCTATAAATTCGGTTTTACCTCAAACGTTTTTCTACACACATTTTTACTTCTAACACAAAGCATTATAGCATCAACAAACTCTTAAGAATTTCTTGAAATATCTTGATACTCAATTAAAATGGCTTTGTTGTGGATGGGCGATGAACACCGTGGAACACAACAAAACATTTAAGCTAGTGTAAGTTTTCCTCTATTCCAGTGCATTCAAAAATAATGATTATAATTGCTTGGCTCAATATTGTTTCATATAAAAAATAATGATTATAATTGCTTGGTTCAATATTGTTTCAGACTAATGCAAGGTTCAAGTGCATTCTCATGCTCCCATTCAAGCAAGTGTGAGAATAATCCCGTATCTAGAAATAGCAGGTTTTTCTCATATCGCAAAAATAAATAGTCTCAAAATCGACTCCAGCTTAGTTGTAGCTCTGTTAGAGAAATGGAGACCAGAAACACACTTTTCACTTCCCAACAGGTGAATGCACGATAACGTTAGAAGATGCGAATATGTTAATTGGTCCCCGAGTTGATGGAAAAGCTATCAACGGTCCTAGCAAAGTCACAAATGATGTTTACATGGAGAGCTTAGGGGTGAAACCTACAGAAGCGGATAAAACAGAAGCGGATAAAAACAGAGGTTCTGTTAGGATTACGTGGCTAGAAAATTTATATGAAATTTTAAAATATAACTATGCCCCCACACAAAAAGATATTATTTTACAAGCTAAAGTTTATATTTTACTTGTAATCGCTACTATTTTATTTCCCGACAAGAGTCAAAATCTTTTGCATTCTTCCTGGATTCCTTTCATAGGGGATCTAGAAAAATGCGGCACCTATAGTTGGGGTTATGCATGTCTTGCAAAACTGTATAGGGAAATGTGCAAGGCAACAGTCAAGGATGTTAGGAGCATGAGTGGTTGTGTTCTTCTACTCACTTCTTGGGCATTCACGCGTATACCATTGTTTGCTCCTGTTAGTACAGTGCAACTGTCATATCCATACTCACAAAGGTTTTTTTTAGATTAAAACACGCATTTATATATATATATATATATATATATATATATATATATATATATATATATATATATATATATATATATATATATATATATATATATATATATATATATATATATATATATATATATATATATATATATATATATATATATATATATATATATATATATATATATATATATATATTTGTTATTCAACTATGCCTAACAATATTTATATTTTTTGTTTATGCAAGATGGGCCCAAAGACGGATGAATCACAATGCTAATCCTCGTTTTCATCTACAAGGATATCGAAACGCATTGGGCCATATGCAAGAAAAAGATGTAAATTTGAAACCATAGAACATAGTTGTCGGTTATACTCCTTAATGGTATTATTATTTTTTTTAATATGTGGCAGTTTATATGGAGTTCGTACATTCAATACCCAGTGTCCAATCTTAGAGATAGCCAGATCTGGAGTACTACAACTTCTCTTATTTGTTTCTATATCGTTGAAATGCATCAAACAGATAGGGTAAAACTCCAGTTTGGATTTGAACAACAAATCTCTTCCCCGCTAAGGTGTCTAAGGGAACACCATGCAATGACAATGAGAAAAGCCTAAAAAGTTCATTGGCGAGACTTAAACAAAGAGGAGGTGAGATAATGGAAACATAAAAGACATTTGATTTTGCAGGGGGACGCTGTAGTTGGTGAACGCAAGCCAAGCCAAGAGTATTTAACTTGGTTTCATGCCATTCCCTATGTGCATATTGCTCCAGACCAATTTTTGATCGACCCACGCATGCAAGGTTCATCATCAACACAACCAACTGATGCATCAGGATGTGCCACCAAACTACACATCTCAATTTGGGGGGCACGCATCTTCATCAGCTCAACATACATACCAACACACACAGACAACCGAACAACACATATATTATGCATACTCATCCCAACACCAAACTCCCTACAATCCACTCCCTCGACAAAACTATAACTACAACTACAACCAACAACATCAACCCCAACCCAACCTTCGACCACCCTTACAGTTCACTCCAGTTCCACCGCCCAACTTTGATCAGTCAAACACTCAATTCCAATATCAAACCTTCAACACTTCATTCTCTCAACCCACCTCCACCTTCACGCCTGATGATGTCTACTACCCAACCCTCCAACAAACCCAACCCGAAACCTACCCACAACCACCGTAACCATCACAATCATTCCAAATTTTTTTGCTGATAAAGGATCAACGGATGCAAATGCCAGATTTTAACATTGATGATCTTCTCGCTGAGTAACCATCAACATAAGCAGAACCCCCTTCAAGGCAGGTAGACCCCCTACAACACATCACAATAAAGATATGTCTTCCGACTCATCTCAATCACCTACAACAAATGCAAATGAACGTTTAGGCAGGGGATATCGATAGAAAAGGACAACTAGGTGTGGAATTGGGAGCCATTTTTGATCAAATGTATATGTAAAATGTATTTTTGTTTAATATATTTTAGTGTTGTATTTAATTAATACAACAAATTTTTATTTATTATTATGATATATTTTTAATTTTTATTTAATTATTATATTAGAACATCATAAAATATTTTAATCTTATAATGTATTTTTAATTAGTATTTATTTATTAGATTAATAAAGTATAAAATATTTTATTATTATAATATATTTTTAATTAATTTTTTATTATTAAATTAGTATAACATATTTTACAATATGATTTTTATATTAAAATTATTAAATATGTGAATAAATATATAATATAAATAAATATACAATATAAATAATTAATTTTTTATTATTAAATTAGTATAACATATATTACAGGGAATCATCCTAGATCCAGATCTGAAGAGTATATGTTTATAGCAGTTCAAATCAAAGATAAACAGGTAGACAAAGATGACACCCATATCAGATAAATGACCGCTTCATATTAAACGCAATGATCATAATACATACATATGTTTAACCCTTTTTTTTACATGTATTTAACCAATTTTCCAAATGGATCAGAACATCGTTCTTCATCACTATTATCACGCATCCTTGCAATACCGTATTGATCCTACTCATGCTACTTAATCAACACAATAAAATAGAAATGATGCAAATGAATATAAAATTAAAAAACCATGTCAAAAGCTTGCTCATTGATAGATGAAAATCTAAGATCAATGGTTTAAAATGAGTTTTGTCAAGACCCACAAATAAGCAATCAAAGACAATCAACAATAGAGAATCAAAACTAGTTCACAAACATATATTAGATGAAATACATAAGGTATCAAAAGGTTACATCCAAACCCCAACAAGAGACCAAAGATCTTACCTTCTCCCTCTTAGGGTTTGTATTTCTCTCTCTAAAATAAGCTTGAAATAATGAGAGATAAAATTATGATGTGAAAAATATATTATATCTCTCTAAAAAATCAAGAAAAATACTTATATAGTACATTCAAGATCTGTCATGTTTGCTCTGCGAATAGATCCTTCGCCCAGCGAACATCAAATTAGGCATCTGATGTGCCTCTGCATAGTTAAACTGCCCCTGTGAAATCTCTGAAGTTCGTTGTGCGAACGATTCTTCGCACTACAAACTACTTCGTCTACAAGTTTGCACAACAAACTTATGGTCCTTTAGTTACTGCCTCAAGTCTGGGATGGTTCGTTGGTCCTTCGCTGCATCTTCGCACAGCGAACATTAGCTTCATGTACGCACAATGAACTTCCTGGTTCTTCTTCACTTCTTTGTCTTCCTTGTCCAATTCACTTGTGTCTTAATCATTGATGTTTTATGCCTAATTTCTACATAATAACACGTACATCAAGGAATCCAAAGGTATTTGCAATATAATTGAAGAATCACATAAGAACATGAATTACATCTATGAAAGCATGAGAATTAAGGTGAAAAGTGCCAAGAAAGATGGTTCATTTTAAGTCAAAATTTGCACTTAACAAACTATTAGGTTCGAACTACAGTAAAACGGCAAGAAGCAAAAATTTAGTTTTGAAGGAATTCCCTCTGGAGTATATATTGTCTCCACGGAGATTGGTGCGAAGGAAAGATTGTTGTTCAATGGTCTCTATATTTCTAAGCTTGTGGTGCAAAAGTTTGGTTGAAATATTTTAGGCACAAAAAATCAAGGCAAAAAATATAAAGATGAAAAATATAAAGTAAAGCCTGAAATATAAACGGAACCTTGTTGGAATTGGATCTCATCGATTGATAAACATGCATTCTTCTAATCATGTTAAACACAACTCAATCAATTATCTTATATCCTCACATATCACCCACAACTGAGGTTATATCTAACGCAACATTGAGAGAACAACCGTATTGTCTCATTGGTGATGTCTCACGCAACAAAACCAACATAGAGCATTAAGAACTGATACTCACGCAAATGCTAAGCCTAAATCTATGTCTAGAGTTTAGAATATAACAGGGAATCATCCTAGATCCATATATGAAGAGTATATGTCTATAACGGTTCAAATCAAAGATACACATGTAGAGAAATATGACATTCGTATCAGATAAATGATTGCTTCATATTAAACACAGTGATCAGAATACGTACACACGTTTAAACCTTTTTTGCATGTATTCAACTAATCTTCCAAATGGATGTGAACATTGTTCTTCATCACTATTATCACGCATCCTCACAATACCGTATTGATCCTACTCATGCTACTCATGCTACTTAATCAACGTAATAAAATAGAAATGATGCAAATGAATATCAACTTACGAAACCATGTCAAAAGTTTGCTCATTGATAGATGAAAATCTAAGATCAAAGATTTGAAATGAGTTTTGTCAAGACCCATAAATAAGCAATCAAAGACAATCAACAATAGAGAATCAAAACTAGTTCACAAACATATATTAGATGAAATACATAAGGTATCAAAAGATTACATCCAAACCCCAACAAGAAATCAAAGATCTTACCTTCTCCCTCTTAGGGTTTGTATTTCTCTCTCTAAAATAAGTTTGAAATGAAGAGAGATAAAGTTCTGATGTGAAAAATATATTATATCTCTCTAAAAAGCAAGAAACGTACTTATATAGTACATTTAGGATCTGTCATGTTTGCACTGTGAACAAATCCTTTGCCTAGCGAACATCAAATTAGGCACTCGATATGCCTCTGCACAGTTAAACCACCCCTGAAAAATCTCTGAAGTTTGCTGTGTGAACGATTCTTCGCACTGCGAACTACCTCGCCTACAAGTTCGCACAGTGAAGTTATGGTCCTTTAGCTACTGCCTCAAGTCTGGGATGGTTCGCTAGTCCTTCGTTGCATTTTCGCACAACGAACATTCGCTTCTTGTTCGCACAACGAACTTCCTGGTTCTTTTTCACTTCTTTGTCTTTCTTGTCCAATTCACTTGTGTCTTAATCATTGATGTTTTATGCCTAATTTCTGCATAATAACTCACACATCAAGGAATCCAAAGGTATTTGCAATATAATTGAATAATCACACAAGAACATGAATTACATCTATGAAAACATCTGAATTAAGATGAAAAGTACCAAGAAAGATGGTTCATTTTATGTCAAAATTTGTACTTAACTGGAAGCCTATCACCAAATTATTGAGTGACCTCTTTGTTTTTAAAGCCCAATAAAATTATTCCAGTACAATCAATTTTCTAGAAAGTTAGATAAATAAATTTGTTTGAACAACCTCATTCTTTGAATTTTTTTGAGATGAGACACTATGGCAAAAAAGACCTTTAGCAGCGCTTAAAAGCGCTGCCTAAAATGGCGCTGCTAAAGGTAAAGGCAGTGTTTTTTTTATGGAAAAAACGTTGTTATAAGCCCACTTTTAGCAGCGCTTTTCCATAAAAGCGCTCTCTATTCGCCCCCCCTTTAGCAGCGCTTTTCAAAAACGCTGCCTATTCCCCCCCCCCCCCCCCCCCATATAGCAGCGGTTCTGAAAAGCACTGCCGATTCCCCCCCCCCCCCTTTAGCAGCACTTTTGAAAAGCACTGCCTATCCCCCCCCCCCCTTTAGCAGCGCTTTTCTTAAGAAAAACACTTCCTATTCCCCCCTTTAGCAGCGCTTTTTAAAGTGTTGTCTTTACCATCCCTCTCCCACCCCTATAGCAGCACTTTTTTGAGCGCTCTCTATGCCCCCCCCCCCCTTTAGCAGCGCTTTCTTAATAAAAGCGTTGTCTATTCTTCACGTCTTTAAAAAAAATCACTTTTTCATAACAATTTTTTTGGTAAAAGCGCTGTCTATTTTTCACATTTTTTAGAAACGAGTTTTTTGAATTATGTTGCACCAGTTTTTATATTTTTTTGGATAAACCTGCTTATAACAATTACATTCACCTGCTTATAATTCAGACCTTTAATTCAACACTTTGCCCTTATATATACCATAATCTTTGTAATTCAACACATATAGCGCCAAAACTACATACGACTTCTAGAAATATAATTATCTCACATCAATATTTGACAATATATATATATATATATATATATATATATATATATATATATATATATATATATATATATATATATATATATATATATATATATATATATATATATATATAT